ATGCAGCTGGATGTCTGTTACATCACGTAGGGAGTTCACTCAGTCACTCAGTCACTCGTCAGTCAGTTAGTCAGTCAGTCAGTCAGTCAGTCAGCTAGTCAGTCAGTCAGTCACTCAGTCAGTCACTCAGTCAGTCAGTCAGTCAGTCACTCACTCCATCACTCAGTCACTCAGTCAGTTAGTCAGTCAGTCAGTTAGTCAGTCACTCAGTCACTCAGTCAGTCACTCAGTCACTCAGTCAGTCAGTCAGTCACTCAGTCCCTCAGTCACTCAGTCAGTCAGTCAGTCACTCAGTCCCTCAGTCACTCAGTCAGTTAGTCAGTCAGTCAGTCACTCAGTCAGTTAGTCAGTTAGTCAGGCAGTAAGTCAGTTAGTCACGAAGTTACTCAGCCTCCTTCAAACAATTCTCTCAGCTGCTGAGAAGATTCATCAGCACCATGGGGGATTGCTGTGGGAAAGAAAATGCAGCTGGATGTCTGTTACATCACGTAGGGAGTTCACTCAGTCACTCGTCAGTCACTCAGTCAGTCAGTCAGTTAGTCATTCAGTCAGTCACTCAGTCACTCAGTCACTCAGTCAGTTAGTCAGTTAGTCAGTTAGTCAGTCAGTCAGTCAGTCAGTCAGTCACTCAGTCAGTCACTCAGTCAGTTAGTCAGTTAGTCAGGCAGTAAGTCAGTTAGTCACTAAGTTACTCAGCCTCCTTCAAACAATTCTCTCAGCTGCTGAGAAGATTCATCAGCACGATGGGGGATTGCTGTGGGAAAGAAAATGCAGCTGGATGTCTGTTACATCACGTAGGGAGTTCACTCAGTCACTCAGTCAGTCACTCAGTCAGTCACTCAGTCAGTCAGTCAGTCACTCAGTCAGTCACTCAGTCACTAAGTCAGTCAGTCACTCAGTCAGTCAGTCACTCAGTCAGTCACTCAGTCAGGCAGTCAGTCACTCAGTCAGTCACTCAGTCAGTCAGTCAGTCACTCAGTCACTCAGTCAGTTAGTCAGTCAGTCACTCAGTCACTCAGTCACTCAGTCACTCAGTCAGTCAGTCAGTCACTCAGTCACTCAGTCACTCAGTCCGTCAGTCAGTCACTCAGTCAGTCACTCAGTCAGTTAGTCAGTTAGTCAGGCAGTAAGTCAGTTAGTCACTAAGTTACTCAGCCTCCTTCAAACAATTCTCTCAGCTGCTGAGAAGATTCATCAGCACCATGGGGGATTGCTGTGGGAAAGAAAATGCAGCTGGATGTCTGTTACATCACGTAGGGAGTTCACTCAGTCACTCGTCAGTCACTCAGTCACTCAGTTAGTCACTCAGTCAGTCAGTCAGTCACTCAGTCAGTCAGTCAGTCACTCAGTCAGTCACTCAGTCAGTTAGTCAGTTAGTCAGGCAGTAAGTCAGTTAGTCACTAAGTTACTCAGCCTCCTTCAAACAATTCTCTCAGCTGCTGAGAAGATTCATCAGCACCATGGGGGATTGCTGTGGGAAAGAAAATGCAGCTGGATGTCTGTTACATCACGTAGGGAGTTCACTCAGTCACTCAGTCAGTCACTCAGTCAGTCACTCAGTCAGTCAGTCACTCAGTCAGTCAGTCAGTTAGTCAGGCAGTAAGTCAGTTAGTCACTAAGTTACTCAGCCTCCTTCAAACAATTCTCTCAGCTGCTGAGAAGATTCATCAGCACCATGGGGGATTGCTGTGGGAAAGAAAATGCAGCTGGATGTCTGTTACATCACGTACGGAGTTCACTCAGTCACTCAGTCAGTCACTCAGTTAGTCACTCAGTCAGTCACTCAGTCAGTCACTCAGTCAGTTAGTCAGTTAGTCAGGCAGTAAGTCAGTTAGTCACTAAGTAACTCAGCCTCCTTCAAACAATTCTCTCAGCTGCTGAGAAGATTCATCAGCACGATGGGGGACTGCTGTGGGAAAGAAAATGCAGCTGGATGTCTGTTACATCACGTAGGGAGTTCACTCAGTCACTCAGTCAGTCACTCAGTCAGTCACTCAGTCAGTCAGTCAGTCACTCAGTCAGTCACTCAGTCACTAAGTCAGTCAGTCACTCAGTCAGTCAGTCACTCAGTCAGTCACTCAGTCAGGCAGTCAGTCACTCAGTCAGTCACTCAGTCAGTCAGTCAGTCACTCAGTCACTCAGTCAGTTAGTCAGTCAGTCACTCAGTCACTCAGTCACTCAGTCACTCAGTCAGTCAGTCAGTCACTCAGTCACTCAGTCACTCAGTCCGTCAGTCAGTCACTCAGTCAGTCACTCAGTCAGTTAGTCAGTTAGTCAGGCAGTAAGTCAGTTAGTCACTAAGTTACTCAGCCTCCTTCAAACAATTCTCTCAGCTGCTGAGAAGATTCATCAGCACCATGGGGGATTGCTGTGGGAAAGAAAATGCAGCTGGATGTCTGTTACATCACGTAGGGAGTTCACTCAGTCACTCGTCAGTCACTCAGTCAGTCAGTCAGTCACTCAGTCAGTCAGTCAGTCAGTCAGTCAGTCAGTCAGTCACTCAGTCAGTCACTCAGTCAGTTAGTCAGTTAGTCAGGCAGTAAGTCAGTTAGTCACTAAGTAACTCAGCCTCCTTCAAACAATTCTCTCAGCTGCTGAGAAGATTCATCAGCACCATGGGGGATTGCTGTGGGAAAGAAAATGCAGCTGGATGTCTGTTACATCACGTAGGGAGTTCACTCAGTCACTCAGTCAGTCACTCAGTCAGTCACTCAGTCAGTCAGTCACTCAGTCAGTCAGTCAGTTAGTCAGGCAGTAAGTCAGTTAGTCACTAAGTTACTCAGCCTCCTTCAAACAATTCTCTCAGCTGCTGAGAAGATTCATCAGCACCATGGGGGATTGCTGTGGGAAAGAAAATGCAGCTGGATGTCTGTTACATCACGTAGGGAGTTCACTCAGTCACTCAGTCAGTCACTCAGTCAGTCACTCAGTCAGTCAGTTAGTCACTCAGTCTGTCAGTCAGTCACTCAGTCACTCAGTCCGTCAGTCAGTCACTCAGTCAGTCACTCAGTCAGTTAGTCAGTTAGTCAGGCAGTAAGTCAGTTAGTCACTAAGTTACTCAGCCTCCTTCAAACAATTCTCACAGCTGCTGAGAAGATTCATCAGCACCATGGGGGATTGCTGTGGGAAAGAAAATGCAGCTGGATGTCTGTTACATCACGTAGGGAGTTCACTCAGTCACTCAGTCAGTCACTCAGTTAGTTAGTCAGTTAGTCAGTCACTCAGTCCGTCAGTCAGTCACTCAGTCAGTTAGTCAGTTAGTCAGGCAGTAAGTCAGTTAGTCACTAAGTTACTCAGCCTCCTTCAAACAATTCTCTCAGCTGCTGAGAAGATTCATCAGCACCATGGGGGATTGCTGTGGGAAAGAAAATGCAGCTGGATGTCTGTTACATCACGTACGGAGTTCACTCAGTCACTCAGTCACTCAGTCAGTCAGTTAGTCAGTCAGTCAGTCACTCAGTCAGTCAGTTAGTCAGTCACTCAGTCACTCACTCAGTCAGTCACTCAGTCAGTCACTCAGTCACTCAGTCAGTCACTCAGTCAGTCACTCACTCAGTCACTCAGTCAGTCACTCAGTCAGTCACTCAGTCACTCACTCAGTCACTCAGTCACTCAGTCAGTTAGTCAGTCAGTCAATCAGTCATTCAGTCAGTCAGTCACTCAGTCATTCAGTCAGTCACTCAGTCATTCAGTTAGTCACTAAGTTACTCAGCCTCCTTCAAACAATTCTCACAGCTGCTGAGAAGATTGATTATCACCATGGGTGAGTGATGTGGGAAAGACAAGGCAGCTGGATATCTGTTACATCACGTACGGAGTTCACTCAGTCACTCAGTCAGTCAGTCACTCAGTCAGTCACTCAGTCAGTCAGTCAGTTAGTCACTCAGTCAGTCACTCAGTCACTCAGTCAGTCAGTCAGTCAGTTAGTCACTCAGTCAATCAGTCAGTCACTCAGTCAGTCAGTTAGTCAGTCAGTCACTCACTCACTCACTCAGTCAGTCAGTCACTCAGTCACTCTGTCAGTCAGTCAGTCAGTCACTCTGTCAGTCAGTCAGTCACTCAGTCAGTCAGTCACTCAGTCAGGTAGTCAGTCACTCAGTCAGTCACTCAGTCACTCACTCAGTCAGTCAGTCACTCAGTCAGTTAGTCAGTCAGTCACTCACTCACTCAGTCAGTCAGTCACTCAGTCACTCTGTCAGTCAGTCAGTCAGTCACTCTGTCAGTCAGTCAGTCACTCAGTCAGTCAGTCACTCAGTCACTCAGTCAGTCAGTCACTCAGTCAGGTAGTCAGTCACTCAGTCAGTCACTCAGTCAGTCACTCAGTCACTCACTCAGTCAGTCAGTCACTCAGTCATTCAGTCAGTCAGTCAGTCACTCAGTCAGTCACTCACTCAGTCACTCAGTCACTTACTCAGTCAGTCACTCAGTCAGTCAGTCACTCAGTCAGTCAGTCAGTCACTCAGTCAGTCACTCAGTCAGGCAGTAAGTCAGTCACTCAGTCACTCACTCAGTCACTCAGTCACTCAGTCAGTCAGTCACTCAGTCAGTCAGTCAATCACTCAGTCAGTCAGTCAGTCACTCAGTCAGTCACTCAGTCAGGCAGTAAGTCAGTCACTCAGTCAGTCAGTCAGTCACTCAGTCAGTCACTCAGTCAGTCAGTCACTCAGTCAGTCACTCAGTCATTCAGTTAGTCAGTCAGTCACTCAGTCAGTCACTCAGTCAGTCAGTGACTCAGTCAGTCACTCAGTCAGTCAGTCACTCACTCAGTCACTCAGTCAGTCAGTCAGTCACTCAGTCAGTCAGTCACTCAGTCACTCAGTCACTCAGTCAGTCACTAAGTCAGTCACTGAGTCAGTCAGTCACTCAGTCAGTCAGTCAGTCACTCAGTCACTCAGTCAGTCACTCAGTCACTCACTCAGTCAGTCACTCAGTCAGTCAGTCACTCAGTCATTCAGTTAGTCACTAAGTTACTCAGCCTCCTTCAAACAATTTTCACAGCTGCTGAGAAGATTGATTATCACCATGGGTGAGTGATGTGGGAAAGACAAGGCAGCTGGATATCTGTTACATCACGTACGGAGTTCACTCAGTCACTCAGTCAGTCAGTCACTCAGTCAGTCACTCAGTCAGTCAGTTAGTCAGTCAGTCACTCAGTCAGTCAGTCAGTTAGTCAGTCAGTCACTCAGTCAGTCAATCAGTCAGTCAGTCACTTACTCAGTCACTCAGTCAGTCACTTAGTCAGTCACTCAGTCAGTCACTCAGTCACTCAGTCAGTCAGTCAGTCACTCAGTCACTCAGTCAGTCACTCAGTCAGTCAGTCACTCAGTCACTTACTCAGTCAGTCAGTCATTCAGTTAGTCAGTCACTTAGTCAGTCAGTCACTTACTCAGTCACTTAGTCAGTCACTCAGTCATTCAGTCATTTACTCAGTCACTCAGTCAGTCACTCAGTCACTCAGTCAGTCATTCAGTCACTTACTCAGTCACTTACTCAGTCACTAAGTTAGTCAGTCATTCATTCAGTCACTTACTCAGTCACGCAGTCAGTCACTCAGTCACTCTCTCAGTCAGTCAGTCACTCAGTCAGTTAGTCAGTCATTCATTCACTTACTCAGTCACTTTCTCAGTCACTAAGTTACTCAGTCATTCAGTCAGTCACTTACTCAGTCACTCTTTCAGTCACTCAGTCACTCAGTCAGTCAGTCACTTAGTCAGTCACTCAGTCAGTTAATCTCTCAGTCAGTCACTCAGTCAGTCAGACAGTCACTCAGTCAGTTACTCAGTTAGTCAGTTAGTCAGTCAGTTAGTCAGTCACTCAGTCAGTCACTCAGTCAGTCACTCAGTCAGTCAGAAAGTCACTCAATCAGTCACTCAGTTAGCCAGTTAGTCAGTCAGTTAGTCAGTCACTTAGTCAGTCACTCAGTCAGTTACTCAGTCAGTCAGACTGTCACTCAGTCACTCAGTTAGTCAGTTAGTCAGTCAGTTAGTCAGTCACTTAGTCAGTCACTCAGTCAGTCACTCATTCAGTCAGACAGTCAGTCAGTCAGTCACTCACTCAGTCACTCACTCAGTCACTCACTCAGTCACTCACTCAGTCACTCAGTCACTCACTCAGTCAGTCACTCAGTCAGTTACTCAGTTAGTCATTCCATCAGTCACTCAGATAGTCAATCACTCAGTCACTCAGTCAGTCACGCAGTTAGTCAGTTAATCACTCAGTTAGTCAGTTAGTCAGTCAGTCACTCCTTCACTCAGTAACTAAGTCACTCAGTCAGTCACTCACTCAGTCACTCAGTTACTTAGTCAGTCACTAAATGACTCAGTCAGTCATTCAGTCACTCAGTTACTCACTCAGTTACTCACTCAGTCACCCAGTCAGTCACTCACTCAGTCAGTCAGTCAGTTAGTCACTCAGTCACTCAGTCAGTCACTCAGTCAGTCACTAAGTCAGTCACTCAGTCACCCAATCAGTCACTCAGTCAGTCACTCACTCAGTCACTCAGTCAGTCACTCACTGTCACTTAGATAGTCACTCAGTCAGTCACTCACTCAGTCATTCAGTCAGTCAGTCACTCATTCACTTAGTCAGTCACTCAGTCAGTCACTCACTCAGTCACTTAGATAGTCACTCAGTCAGTCACTCACTCAGTCACTCACTTATTGGCTGAATGGCTGAGTGACTTAATGAGTGGCTGAGTGAGTGACTGAGTGAGTGAATGAGTGAGTGAGTGAGTGTCTGAGTGAGTTATTGAGTGAGTGACTGAGTGTCTGAATGAGTGAGTGACTGAGTGAGTGACTGACTGAGTGAGTGAGTGACTGAGTGAGTGAGTGACTGACTGAGTGAGTGAGTGAGTGACTGACTGAGTGAGTGAGTGTCTGAATGAGTGAGTGACAGTGTCTGAGTGAGTCTCTGAATGAGTGTCTGATTGAGTGTCTGAGTGAGTTAGTTTCTGAGTGTCTGTCTGAGTGTCTGAATGAGTCTCTGAGTGAGTGTCTGAATGACTGAGTGTCTGAATGACTGAGTGATTGTCTGAATGAATGAGTGAGTGTCTGAATGTCTGAGTAAGTGTCTGAATGAGTGTCTGAGTGAGTGTCTGACTGACTGAGTCTCTGACTGAGTGTCTGAATGAGTGTCTGAATGACTGCGTGTCTGAGTGTCTGAGTGAGTGTCTGAATAACTGATTGTCTGAATGACTGAGTGAGTGTCTGAATGACTGAGTGAGTGTCTGAATGAGTCTCTGAGTGAGTGTCTGAATGAGTCTCTGAGTGAGTGTCTGAATGAGTCTCTGAGTTAGTGTCTGAATGACTGAGTGTCTGAATGACTGAGTGATTGTCTGAATGAATGAGTGAGTGTCTGAATGAGTCTCTGACTGAGTGTCTGAATGACTGAGTGAGTGTCTGAATGACTGAGTGAGTGTCTGAATGTCTGAGTAAGTGTCTGAATGAGTGTCTGAGTGAGTGTCTGACTGACTGAGTCTCTGACTGAGTGTCTGAATGAGTGTCTGAATGACTGCGTGTCTGAGTGTCTTAGTGAGTGTCTGAATGACTGATTGTCTGAATGACTGAGTGAGTGTCTGAATGAGTCTCTGAGTGAGTGTCTGAATGAGTCTCTGAGTGAGTGTCTGAATGAGTCTCTGAGTGAGTGTCTGAATGACTGAGTGTCTGAATGACTGAGTGATTGTCTGAATGAATGAGTGAGTGTCTGAATGAGTCTCTGACTGAGTGTCTGAATGACTGAGTGAGTGTCTGAATGACTGAGTGAGTGTCTGAATATCTGAGTAAGTGTCTGAATGAGTGTCTGAGTGAGTGTCTGACTGACTGAGTCTCTGACTGAGTGTCTGAATGAGTGTCTGAATGACTGCGTGTCTGAGTGTCTTAGTGAGTGTCTGAATGACTGATTGTCTGAATGACTGAGTGAGTGTCTGAATGACTGAGTGAGTGTCTGAATGAGTCTCTGAGTGAGTGTCTGAATGAGTCTCTGAGTGAGTGTCTGAATGAGTCTCTGAGTGAGTGTCTGAATGACTGAGTGTCTGAGTGAGTGTCTGAATGAGTCTCTGAGTGAGTGTCTGAGTGTCTGAGTGTCTGAATGAGTCTCTGAGTGAGTGTCTGAATGACTGAGTGAGTGTCTGAATGAGTGTCTGAGTGAGTGACTGAATGACTGAGTGAGTGTCTGAATGAGTGTCTGAATGAGTGTCTGAGTGAGTGTCTGAGTGAGTGTCTGACTGATCTGAGTCTCTGACTGAGTGTCTGAATGACTGAGTGAGTGTCTGAATGATTGTCTGAATGAGTGTCTGAGTGAGTGTCTGACTGACTGAGTCTCTGACTGAGTGTCTGAATGACTGAGTGAGTGTCTGAATGATTGTCTGAATGAGTGTCTGAGTGAGTGTCTGACTGACTGAGTCTCTGACTGAGTGTCTGAATGACTGAGTGAGTGTCTGAATGATTGTCTGACTGAGTGAGTGTCTGAATGACTGAGTGTCTGAGTGAGTGTCTAAATGACTGAATGAGTGTCTGAATGAGTGTCTGAGTGAGTGTCTGACTGACTGAGTGTCTTAATGACTGAGTGTCTGAATGAGTGTCTGAATGAGTCTCTGACTGAGTGTCTGAGTGAGTGTCTGACTGACTGAGTCTCTGACTGAGTGTCTGAATGACTGAGTGAGTGTCTGAATGATTGTCTGACTGAGTGAGTGTCTGAATGACTGAGTGTCTGAGTGAGTGTCTAAATGACTGAATGAGTGTCTGAATGAGTGTCTGAGTGAGTGTCTGACTGACTGAGTGTCTTAATGACTGAGTGTCTGAATGAGTGTCTGAATGAGTCTCTGACTGAGTGTCTGAGTGAGTGTCTGAATGAGTCTCTGACTGAGTGTCTGAATGACTGAGTGTCTGAATGACTGAGTGTCTGAATGACTGAGTGAGTGTCTCAATGACTGAGTGAGTGTCTGAATGAGTGTCTGACTGAGTGTCTGAGTGACTGAGTGAGTGTCTGAGTGTCTGAGTGAGTGTCTGAATGACTGAGTGAGTGTCTGAATGAGTGTCTGAATGAGTCTCTGACTGAGTGTCTGAGTGAGTGTCTGAATGAGTGTCTGACTGAGTGTCTGACTGAGTGTCTGAGTGACTGAGTGAGTGTCTGAATGAGTGTCTGACTGAGTGTCTGAATGACTGAGTGAGTGTCTGAGTGTCTGAGTGAGTGTCTGAATGACTGAGTGAGTGTCTGAGTGACTGTCTGAATGACTGAGTGTCTGAGTGAGTGTGTGACTGTCTGAATGACTGACTGAGTGTCTGAATGACTGAGTGAGTGTCTGAGTGAGTGTCTGAGTGAGTGTCTGACTGACTGAGTCTCTGACTGAGTGTCTGAGTGACTGAGTGAGTGTCTGAATGACTGAGTGTCTGAATGACTGAGTGAGTCTCTGAGTGAGTGTCTGAATGAGTGTCTGAGTGAGTGTCTGAGTGAGTGTCTGAATGACTGAGTGATTGTCTGAATGACTGAGTGAGTGTCTGAATGAGTGTCTGAGTGAGTGTCTGAATGACTGAGTGAGTGTCTGAATGACTGAGTGAGTGTTTGAATGACTGAGTGAGTGTCTGAATGAGTGTCTGAATGAGTGTCTGACTGAGTGTCTGAATGACTGAGTGTCTGAATGACTGAGTGATTGTCTGAATGAGTGTCTGAGTGAGTCTCTGTCTGAGTGTCTGAATGACTGAGTGTCTGAATGACTGAGTGAGTGTCTGAATGACTGAGTGAGTGTCTGAATGACTGAGTGAGTGTCTGAGTGAGTGTCTGAGTGAGTGTCTGAGTGAGTGTCTGAATGAGTGTCTGAGTGAGTGTCTGAGTGACTGAGTCTCTGACTGAGTGTCTGTATGACTGAGTGTCTGAATGAGTGTCTGAGTGAGTCTCTGTCTGAGTGTCTGAATAACTGAGTGTCTGAGTGTCTGAGTGAGTGTCTGAATGACTGAGTGTCTGAATGACTGAATGACTGAGTGAGTGTCTGAGTGAGTCTCTGAGTAAGTGTCTGAATGACTGAGTGAGTGTCTGAATGAGTGTCTGAGTGAGTCTCTGAGTAAGTGTCTGAATGACTGAGTGAGTGTCTGAATGACTGACTGAGTGTCTGAATGAGTGTCTGAATGACTGAGTGTCTGAGTGACTGAGTGAGTGTCTGAATGACTGAGTGAGTGTCTGAGTGAGTGTCTGAGTGAGTCTCTGACTGAGTCTTTGACTGAGTGTCTGAATGACTGAGTGTCTGAATGAATGACTGAGTGTCTGACTGAGTGTCTGAGTGACTGAGTGAGTGTCTGAATGACTGAATGAGTGTCTGAGTGACTGAGTGTCTGAGTGAGTCTCTGACTGAGTCTCTCAATGACTGACAGAATCATCGACAGAGCATCTCGAGTGACCGCTTCTCCCTCCTAACCCCAACACCCCTTAACCTCACCCCCGCCACCACCGCCAGCGCTACCTGTTTCAGGACGAATTGTGCGAGGGAGTCTCCTCGATCCCCTCGGCCGCTTCCTGCTGCTCCCTTGCTAACGAGGAGGACCGGGCCGACTGCCTCGTCTCCCTGCGAGGCAATCTGTCGATCCACAGTGTCCCACTTGCCCCAGCCAGTCAGCTGTGCCACGATCGACGCTGGAAGTCTCACGAATCCTTCGCCAGGTGATGCACGGAGTTAGAGTGAAGGTCTCTCGATCTGTCTGTCTGTGTGTCTCTGTGTGTCTCTGTGTGTGTCTCTGTGTGTCTCTGTGTCTCTGTATCTCTCTCTGTGTCTCTGTGTGTTTCTGTGTGTCTCTGTGTCTCTGTGTCTCTCTCTCTCTCTGTCTCTGTGTGTCTCTCTCTCTGTGTCTCTGTGTCTCTCTCTGTGTCTCTGTGTGTCTCTCTGTCTCTCTGTGTCTCTCTCTCTGTCTCCCTGCGAGGCAATCTGTCGATCCACAGTGTCCCACTTGCCCCAGCCAGTCAGCTGTGCCACGATCGACGCTGGAAGTCTCACGAATCCTTCGCCAGGTGATGCACGGAGTCATAGTGAAGGTCTCTCGATCTGTCTGTGTGTCTCTCTGTGTGTGTGTTTCTGTGTGTCTCTGTGTCTCTGTGTGTCTCTCTCTGTCTGTGTGTCTCTGTGTCTCTGTGTGTCTCTGTGTGTGTCTCTGTGTTTGTCTCTGTGTGTCTCTCTGTGTCGCTGTGTCTCTCTCTGTGTCTCTGTGTGTTTCTGTGTCTCTGTGTGTCTCTCTCTGTGTCTGTCTCTCTCTATGTGTCTCTCTGTGTCTCTCTGTGTGTCTCTGTGTCTGTGTGTCTCTCTCTGTGTCTCTCTCTGTGTCTCCCTGTGTCTCTCTGTGTGTGTCTCTGTGTGTCTCTGTGTCTCTCTCTCTATGTCTCTGTGTCTCTCTCTCTCTGTCTCTGTCTGTGGCTCTCTCTCTCTGTGTCTCTGTGTCTCTCTCTGTGTCTCTGTGTGTCTCTCTGTGTCTCTGTCTCTCTCTATGTCTCTGTGTCTCTCTCTCTGTCTCTGTCTGTGGCTCTCTCTCTGTGTCTCTGTGTCTCTCTCTCTGTCTCTCTGTGTGTCTCTCTGTCTCTCTGTGTCTCTCTCTCTGTCTCCCTGCGAGGCAATCTGTCGATCCACAGTGTCCCACTTGCCCCAGCCAGTCAGCTGTGCCACGATCGACGCTGGAAGTCTCACGAATCCTTCGCCAGGTGATGCACGGAGTTAGAGTGAAGGGTCTCTCGATCTGTCTCTCTGTGTGTGTCTGTGTGTGTGTGTGTCTGTCTCTGTGTCTCTGTGTCTCTCTCTCTCTGTCTCTGTCTGTGGCTCTCTCTCTCTGTCTCTGTCTGTGGCTCTCTCTCTGTGTCTCTGTGTCTCTCTCTGTGTCTCTGTGTCTCTCTCTCTGTCTCTCTGTGTCTCTCTCTGTGTCTCTGTCTCTCTGTGTGTCTCTGTGTGTGTGCGTGTGTCTGTCTGTGTGTCTCTGTGTGTGTCTCTGTGTGTCTCTGTGTCTCTGTATCTCTCTCTGTGTCTCTGTGTGTTTCTGTGTGTCTCTGTGTGTCTCTGTGTCTCTCTCTGTGTCTCTGTGTGTTTCTGTGTGTCTCTCTCTCTCTGTCTCTGTCTGTGGCTCTCTCTCTGTGTCTCTGTGTCTCTCTCTGTGTCTCTGTGTGTCTCTGTGTCTCTGTGTGTTTCTGTGTCTCTCTCTGTGTCTCTGTCTCTCTGTGTGTCTCTGTGTGTGTGCGTGTGTCTGTCTGTGTGTCTCTGTGTGTGTCTCTGTGTGTCTCTGTGTCTCTGTATCTCTCTCTGTGTCTCTGTGTGTTTCTGTGTGTCTCTGTGTCTCTGTGTCTCTCTCTCTCTGTCTCTGTGTGTGTCTCTCTCTCTGTGTCTCTGTGTCTCTCTCTGTGTCTCTGTGTGTTTCTGTGTCTCTGTGTGTCTCTCTCTCTCTCTGTGTCTCTGTGTCTCTCTCTGTGTCTCTGTGTGTCTCTCTGTCTCTCTGTGTCTCTGTGTCTCTCTCTGTGTCTCTGTGTCTCTCTCTGTGTCTCTGTGTCTCTCTGTCTCTCTGTGTCTCTCTCTGTCTCCCTGCGAGGCAATCTGTCGATCCACAGTGTCCCACTTGCCCCAGCCAGTCAGCTGTGCCACGATCGACGCTGGAAGTCTCACGAATCCTTCGCCAGGTGATGCACGGAGTTAGAGTGAAGGGTCTCTCGATCTGTCTCTCTGTGTGTGTCTGTGTGTGTGTGTCTCTGTGTCTCTGTGTGTTTGTGTGTGTCTCTGTGTCTCTGTATCTCTCTCTGTGTCTCTGTGTGTTTCTGTGTGTCTCTGTGTGTGTGTCTCTGTGTCTCTGTGTGTCTGTGTCTCTGTGTGTCTCTGTGTGTCTCTGTGTGTCTCTGTGTCTCTCTCTGTGTCTCTGTGTGTTTCTGTGTGTCTCTGTGTCTCTGTGTGTCTCTGTGTGTCTCTGTGTCTCTGTGTGTCTCTGTGTGTGTCTCTGTCTCTCTCTGTGTCTCTGTGTCTCTCTCTCTCTGTCTCTGTCTGTGGCTCTCTCTCTCTGTGTCTCTGTGTCTCTCTCTGTGTATCTGTGTGTCTCTCTGTCTCTCTGTGTCTCTCTCTCTGTCTCTCTGCGAGGGAATCTGTCGATCCACAGTGTCCCACTTGCCCCAGCCAGTCAGCTGTGCCACGATCGACGCTGGAAGTCTCACGAATCCTTCGCCAGGTGATGCACAGAGTTAGAGTGAAGGGTCTCTCGATCTGTCTGTCTGTGTTTGTCTGTGTGTTTCTGTGTGTCTCTGTGTGTGTTCTGTGTCTCTGTCTCTCTGTGTGTCTCTGTGTGTGTCTCTGTGTGTGTTTCTGTGTCTCTGTGTCTCTGTGTGTGTCTCTGTGTGTCTCTGTGTGTCTCTGTGTGTGTCTCTGTCTCTCTCTATGTCTCTGTGTGTGTCTCTCTCTGTCTCTGTCTGTGGCTCTCTCTCTCTGTGTCTCTGTGTCTCTCTCTGTGTCTCTGTGTGTCTCTCGGTGTCTCTGTGTGTTTCTGTGTGTCTCTGTGTCTCTCTGTGTGTCTCTCTCTGTCTCTGTGTCTCTGTGTCTCTGTGTCTCTCTCTGTCTCTGTGTGTCTCTCTGTCTCTCTGTGTCTCTCTCTCTGTCTCTCTGCGAGGCAATCTGTCGATCCACAGTGTCCCACTTGCCCCAGCCAGTCAGCTGTGCCACGATCGACGCTGGAAGTCTCACGAATCCTTCGCCAGGTGATGCACGGAGTTAGAGTGAAGGGTCTCTCGATCTGTTTGTGTGTGTGTGTGTCTCTCTGTGTGTGTCTCTGTGTTTGTCTGTGTGTCTCTGTGTGTCTTTGTGTGTGTCTGTGTGTCTCTGTGTGTTTCTGTGTGTGTTTCTGTCTCTGTGTGTCTCTGTGTCTCTGTGTCTCTGTGTGTCTCTGTGTGTCTCTGTGTCTCTGTGTGTGTCTCTGTGTTTGTCTCTCTCTCTCTGTGTGTCTCTGTGTCTCTGTGTCTCTCTGTGTCTCTGTGTCTCTCTGTGTGTCCCACTGGCCCCAGCCAGTCAGCTGTGCCACGATCGACGCTGGAAGTCTCACGAATCCTTCGCCAGGTGATGCACGGAGTTAGAGTGAAGGGTCTCTCGATCTGTCTCTCTGTGTGTGTGTGTCTGTCTGTGTGTGTCTCTGTGTGTCTCTGTGTGTCTCTGTGAGTTTCTGTGTGTCTCTTTGTCTCTGTGTGTCTCTGTGTGTGTCTCTGTGTGTGTGTCTCTGTGTCTCTGTGTGTCTGTGTCTCTGTGTGTCTCTGTGTGTCTCTGTGTCTCTCTCTGTCTGTGTGTGTGTCTGTGTGTCTCTGTGTGTCTCTCTCTGTCTGTGTGTGTCTCTGTGTGTCTCTGTGTCTCTCTGTGTTTCTGTGTGTGTGTGTGTCTCTGTGTTTCTCTGTGTGTCTCTGTGTCTCTCTCTCTGTCTCTGTGTCTCTGTGTCTCTCTGTGTGTCTCTGTGTCTCTGTGTCTCTCTGTGTCTCTCTCTCTGTGTCTCTGTGTCTCTCTGTGAGTCCCACTGGCCCCAGCCAGTCAGCTGTGCCACGATCGACGCTGGAAGTCTCACGAATCCTTCGCCAGGTGATGCACGGAGTTAGAGTGAAGGGTCTCGATCTGTGTGTCTTTGTGTCTCTCTGTGTGTGTCTCTGTGTCTCTGTGTGTCTCTCTGTCTCTCTCTCTGTGTCTCTGTGTCTCTGTCTCACCACCACCAGGAGTTTGCCCTGGAGGACCATGTCTGCTCCGACACGGAGGCTCTCTCCCACGTGTCTCTCTGTGTCTCTCTGTCTCTCTCTGTGTGTCTCTGTGTGTGTCTCTGTCTCTCTCTGTGTCTCTGTGTCTCTCTCTGTGTCTCTCTCTATCTTTCTGTGTCTCTGTGTCTCTCTCTGTGTCTCTCTGTGAGTCTCTATCTGTGTCTCTCTCTGTGTCTCTCTCTGTGCGTCTCTGTGTCTCTCTGTGTCTCTGTGTCTCTCTCTGTGTCACTCTCTGTCTTTCTGTGTCTCTGTGTCTCTCTCTGTGTCTCTCTGTGAGTCTCTATCTGTGTCTCTCTCTGTGTCTCTCTCTGTGCATCTCTGTGTCTCTCTGTGTCTCTGTGTCTCTCTCTGTGTCTCTCTGTGTCTCTCTGTCTGTGTCTCTCTGTGAGTCTCTCTGTGTGTCAGTATCTCTGTGTCTCTGTGTCTCTCTCTGTCTCTCAGTGTGTCTCTGTGTCTCTGTGTCTCTGTGTCTCTCTCTCTGTCTGTCTCTCTGTGTCTCTCTCTGTGTCTCTCTGTGTCTCTCTGTCTGTGTCTCTCTGTGAGTCTCTCTGTGTGTCAGTATCTCTGTGTCTCTCTGTGTCTCTGTGTCTCTCTCTGTGTCTCTCTCTGTGTGTCTCTGTGTCTCTCTCTATGTCTCTGTGTCTCTCTGTGTGTCTCTGTGTCTCTCTCTGTGTGTCTCTGTGTGTCTCTGTGTCTCTGTGTCTCTGTGTCTCTCTCTATGTCTCTGTGTCTCTATCTGTGTCTCTATCTGTGTCTCTGTGTCTCTCTGTGAGTCTCTATGTCTCTGTGTCTCTGTCTCTCTCTGTGTGTCTCTGTGTCTCTCTCTGTGTCTCTATGTGTCTCTCTCTGTGTCTCTCTCTATGTCTCTGTGTCTCTCTCTGTGTCTCTCTGTGTCTCTCTCTGTGTCTCTCTCTGTGTCTCTG